AATCCCGAGCATCGCGTGCTACTGGCACGACGCAGAAATCCAATGCCAGGCGCGGATCCTTTTTTCGCCGCATGGCCTCGCGCGTGAGCGGCAAATCCGAAAGGCGGCCCGGAACAAGCGGGCCACCCGACGGCGACGAAGACGACGAAGACGCCGAAGAGCAAGCAGATGATCAGGCGTCTTCTGCACACGAACAGGACGACTTCCACCTCGAGAACTTCATGCGAGATGGCCACCTCGAACCGCGCACTGCGTCGGGCGAGTCGACCAAGAAGGTCGGCGTCGTCTTCAAAAACCTCTCAGTCAAGGGCGTGGCTAGCGGCACCAGCTTCGTCCGCTCCCTGCCCGAGGCCGTGCTCGGCACATTTGGTCCCGACCTCTACGGGCTTCTCTCCAACTGGTTCCCCGTGTTGCGTTTTGGCCACCAAACGGCCGAGCTTCGGACCCTCATCAATGACTTCACGGGCGTTGTGCGCCACGGCGAGATGATGCTTGTGCTCGGGCGGCCAGGTAGTGGCTGCAGCACCTTCCTCAGGGTCATTGCCAACAACCGCGGCTCGTACGCCGCTGTCGAAGGCGAGGTGTCTTACAGCGGCATATCGGCCGAGGAGGCCGATAAGCACTACCGCGGCGAGGTTGTCTACAACGGCGAGGATGACCAGCACATGCCGACTTTGACTGTTGGCCAGACGCTAAAGTTCTCGCTCCTCAACAAGACAAAAAAGCACCTTCGGGACGACCTCGGGCTCATTTCCGATGCCCTGCTCCGCATGTTTGCAATCAAGCACACCGAAAATACCCTCGTGGGGAGCGCATATGTCCGCGGCGTGTCGGGCGGAGAGCGCAAGCGCGTCAGCATCGCCGAGACCCTAGCGACCAAGAGCACGGTGGCCTGCTGGGACAACTCGACTCGGGGCTTGGATGCCTCGACCGCGCTCGACTATGCGAGGTCCCTGCGCATCATGACCGATGTCTCGGACCGGACAACCATTACCACGCTGTACCAAGCGGGCGAGGGCATCTACGAGCTGATGGACAAGGTACTGGTGATCGACGAAGGACGCATGCTCTACCAGGGCCCGGCCAAGGAGGCGCGGCAGTATTTCGAGGACCTTGGATTCTTCGCCCCCCCACGACAGACTACGGCCGACTTTTTGACGTCCATCTGCGATCCCTCCATCCGCCAGTTCCGAGAAGGCTACGAAGACCGCTGTCCCAAAACAGCTGCCGAGATCGAAAAGGCGTTCCGCGAGAGTCCCGCTTACCAGAAGCTGCTTGCCGACGTCAAGGACTTTGAGCAGCACCTCGAAAAAACCGGCCATGCTGACGCGAAGACATTCCAGGCGACGGTTCAGGAGCAGAAGTCGCGCCGTGTGGCGACACGGTCCAACTACACTGTGAGCTTCTGGAAGCAAGTCCTGGCGTGTACTCGCCGCGAGTTCTGGCTTCTCTGGGGAAACAAGACGGAGCTCTACACCAAGTACTTCATCGTCATCAGCATGGGCTTTGTTGTCAGCTCGCTTTTCTACAACACGCCCGAAACCACAGCCGGGGCTTTTCTTCGAGGCGGTGTGGCCTTCTTCTCCATCATCTTTCTCGGGTGGCTCCAGCTTGCCGAGCTCATGAAGGCCGTGTCAGGCCGCGTCATCGTGGCCCGCCATAAGGAATACGCCTTCTACCGACCCAGCGCTGTCAATCTCGCCCGAGCACTCACAGATATACCGGTCCTCCTGGCCCAGGTCGTCATATTCGGCGTCATCATGTACTTCATGACGAATCTCGCCCTCGAGCCTGGCAAGTTCTTCATCTACCTGCTCTTTATCTACGTGACCACCTTCTGTTTTACGGCACTCTACCGAATGTTCGCCGCATTGTCTCCGACCATCGACGATGCCGTGCGCTTCTCCGGTGTCGCGCTGAATCTGCTCATCATATACACTGGCTACGTGGTTGCCAAACCTGTACTGTTGTCGCAGAAGATCTGGTTTGGGTGGATCTTCTACATTAACCCGGCTGCCTACGCTTTCGAGGCGGTGCTCACCAACGAGTTCCACGGCCGCATCATGCAGTGCGCTCCCGAGCAGCTCGTGCCCCAGGGACCAGGCATTTTGCCTGAAAACCAAGGATGTGCCCTGCCTGGCTCGCAGCCAGGTCGCAACAGCGTCTCGGGAGATGACTATCTCGGTGTGCAGTACGACTACACCCGGGCCCACCTGTGGCGAAACTTTGGTGTTGTGATTGCCTTCTCCGTCCTGTACCTGTTGGTCACGGTAGTTGCCACCGAGATGTTTTCATTTGTCGGCTCCGGGGCGGGGGCGCTTGTTTTCAAAAAGTCCAAGAAGTCTAAGAAACTCGTCAAGGCTGCTGGCAAGCCCGACGAGGAGAAGGGAGCGAGCTCGGGTGAATCATCGGCCGGGGCACTCAGTGCTCAGCTGACTCAGGATGAAGTTCTCGGGTCATTGGCCAAGAGCGAGAAGATCTTTACGTGGGAGAATGTCTCGTACACTGTCCCAACACCGCAAGGTCCAAAGCAGCTGCTTAACAAGATTAATGGCTATGCCAAGCCTGGAGTCATGGTTGCGCTCATGGGCGCGAGTGGCGCTGGCAAGACGACGCTGCTCAACACGCTCTCGCAGCGGCAGACTGTTGGAGTTGTCAGCGGCGACATGCTTGTTGACGGCAAAGTCCTCGGCAACGAGTTCCAACGCAGTACCGGGTTTGTCGAGCAGATGGACCTGCACGACGAGACGGCTACGATTCGGGAGGCCCTAGAATTTTCGGCGCTGCTTCGCCAGAGCCGTGAGACTCCACGCCATGAAAAGCTGGAGTACGTCGACAAGATCATCGACCTGCTCGAGCTGCAGGACATCCAGGATGCCATCATTGCCTCGCTGGGCGTCGAACAAAAGAAGCGACTGACAATTGGAGTTGAATTGGCTGCCAAGCCTTCTCTGCTTCTCTTTCTCGACGAGCCCACCAGCGGCTTGGATTCGCAGTCGGCATTCTCCATCGTGAGGTTCCTCCGGAAGCTCTGCGCGGCCGGCCAGGCTGTTGTCTGCACCATCCACCAACCGTCGTCGGATCTGATCCAAGAGTTTGACAAGATCCTGGCGCTCAACCCGGGAGGCAACGTCTTCTACTTTGGCCCCGTGGGCAACAACGGAAGCGCCGTGATTGATTACTTTGCGGAGCGCGGCGTCCACTGCCCGCCGGGCAAGAACGTGGCCGAGTTCATTCTCGAGACGGCAGCAAAAGGCGGGCGCCGGCCGGATGGCACGCGCATCAACTGGAACAGGGAGTGGCGCAATTCGGCACAGAACAAGGAGCTGGCCGACGAGATTCAGCGCATCAAGGCCGAGCGCAGCAAGCTGCAAGACTCGGCCGAGACCATCGCCGGGCAGCACCAGTTCGCCGCTCCTGTGACGGCTCAGATCATACACCTCACCAAGCGCATGTTCATCCACCAGTGGCGTGACCCCTCGTACATGTACAGCAGGTTGTTTGTGTCGGTCATTGTCGGCATCTTCAACGGGTTTACCTTTTGGAAGCTGGGCAACAGCGTAGCCGACATGCAGAACCGCATGTTCACGCTGTTCCTTATCATCATGATCCCGGCCACGGTCCTCAACTCGGTCGTGCCAAAGTTCTACACCAACCGCGCGTTGTGGGAGGCGCGCGAGCATCCGTCGCGCATCTACGGCTGGGTCGCGTTCTGCACCGCCGAGATCCTGTCCGAGATTCCAGGGTCCATCATTGCCGGAACCGTGTACTGGCTGCTGTGGTATCTGCCCACGGGCCTGCCGACGGAGGCTCCGGCCGCCGGCTATGTCTACCTCATGACCTTGCTCTTCTACCTGTTCCAGGCGAGCTGGGGCCAGTGGATCACGGCGTGGGCGCCCGATTTCACCGTCATCAGCAACGTGCTGCCGTTCTTCCTCGTTATCTTTTCCCTCTTCAACGGCGTCGTCGTGCCGTACAACCAGTTCAACGTGTTTTGGAAATACTGGGTAAGCTCGTGCTCATACAAAATTCTTCTGTTGTCCATGCTAACGCTCGTTTCGCGCAGCTCTACTACCTCAATCCGAGCACGTACTACATCGCGGGCGTCCTGTCTGCGACGCTTATCGGCCAGCCCGTCGTGTGCGCCGACAGCGAGGCCGCCTACTTCAACCCGCCGTCGGGCCAGACGTGCCTGGACTTTGCGGGCGCCTTTGTGCGGCAGGCCGGCCAGGGCTACCTGATCGACCCCAACGCGACGACCAACTGTGGTTACTGCCCGTACGGAAGCGGCAACGAGTATCTGACGGCGCTGAACGTCAAGCCGTCCGACAAGTGGCGCAACTTTGGAATCTTCCTGGCCTTTTGCGTGTCCAACTGGGCGTAAGTTTTTTCTCACTCGCGGTTCCTGAATTGCTGGCTAACGGCATGTTTGTAATAGGCTTGTGTACTTCTTCATCTACACTGTGCGCATCAAGGGCTGGACATTTGGGTTCGGGTGGGTCTTGGGCGCCGTTGGGAAGGGGATAAACGGGATCAAGGGTCTGTTTACCAGGAAGGAAAAGGCTAAGGAGGTCGAGGCGTAGATGGATGACATGTGGATGTGTTTAGTGCGGGCCTGGAGTTTGAGGATAATTACTTGATACCTGATAGATTTGATCTGGAAATAATAGACGCTGTTTGATGGTGTACACACCTGTTTCCCACCTGCCTGTTCATGCTTTTGCTTGGTGTTCCCATGCAAAGACGCACAACCCTTCTCATCTCCAAGTCTAGACGAGAGCCTACTCTGGACTTGGCAGGCCCGCCGCACAGACAAGACAGGCGGCCACCTGAGCCCACAATGGCAACCCACAAAGCATATCCATATTCGTACGGAGCCGGATCCATAGCCATGTGGATTGTGGAGTTTCCGTCCTGCCGGAAAAGCCTCTTCCAGGGAAGATAACCCAATCTCGCAATCCTGTGCCTCAACAAACACAAGCTCACTGGCTCGTTCCAGCGGCTCAATTGTCTAGTGGTATGATTCGCACTTCGGGTGGTCGACTCTTTCTTGTTTCCAAGAATCCCCATTGCCTGGGCAACGGGCAAACTGATATGATATGTGCGTGGTCTCGGGTTCGAATCCCGATTGGGCCCCATTGCTTTCTATATTTTGTGTTTGCAATTTGCAATTTACAATTTCATTTGTTTGTTCGAGGCTCGTGGCGTTACTTTTCTCCTCATTTTCCCCATTTTTCTTACGGCTTCAGGGTGAAGTGTAATTCTTTTCTCTTCTTTTATTTTGATTTTCCCCCACCTTAGTTGGCGATTGATACTAGGGGTTTCAAATTACAGTTAGGGGTGGGTGCGCCGAGTATTCCTCATTTTTAATCATCTAGCAGTTCTGCATCATGGATTGGAAAGGTCAACAGCGCGGTCATGGGGCGGGTGGATGCTGCTTCTGTCTAGAGCTGGATGCAGCTTGGGCCTGAAAAAGTCTGCTCTATATCCCAGCAAACTATGGCCTCCTACGCAAGCTCAATGTGCCGCATGGAGAAACCGGGTCGGTCAAATGCCTCGCCGCGCATGATGCCGTGGACATACGCCTCGCCCACGAGCACAAACCGCCCGTCGGCTCGCGGCCGCAGCACAATGGGCGTGGCGGCGCCGGCCAGCACCCACACCTGGTCGCCCGGCACTGCGCTCCGGGGGCCGTTACCTAAGTAGTTCTCCTCTGTCCGGAAAATGGCGCGCCCCGTCGAGACTGCCTCGTGCCGCGCCGTCAAGGCCGCAGCCATCTCCTCTCTGTCTTCTGCGTCAGCCGCAACAATGGCACCAACAACACCGCCATCCTCCTCATCCTGACTCTCAAGTCCGTCGTCAAACTCAGGCGTCTCCGGCCGCTCCAGCGACCAGCTCCCCCCACATGCGTCACGCAGAAGGCCGTGAACAGCCACGGCTAGCTTGTCCTTCTCGGGTGAAAGGTCTATCGTGAAGTCGGTATCTAGTTCCGCGATGCCGTTGCCAATGCGCACGAACCGACCTTGCACCTTGGCCGCCCCGTCCCCAGTGGCTATCCCCTGTTGCTGCTTCCGCAGCGCCAGCTCCAGGCCCGGGTCTGCCGCTGCCCGCTCCGCTAGCGCCTCGAGCTCCGTCTGTAGAGCCACCAGCTGCGCCGCGTGTGCGCGGGCCTCGGCAGCGTCCCCGTCAGTGTCTACTGCTAGCAGCTGCAGGGCCTTGCTGAGCAGGGCTTGGTCTGCGGTGTAGTCAGCATCGCTAGCTGTTGCGGGATTAATAAGACCGGGGACAGAAGAAATTTCCTGGTCTCGCTCTTCTACGTCGCGATCGTGCTGTAGGCTGGCCATGACGGCGGCAAGCATTTCGTCAAAAACGCGGTCTGTCTGCGAGCGCTTGGCGTCGGGCCGCGGCGCGTACGCCCACATGCCGTACTTATCACTGCCGCCGTCGGGTTCGTTGGCGTCGGGCGGCAGCGTGTGCTTGGTGCGGGCCACGCCGCGGCTGGCGGCGAGCAGCTCGGCGTAGCCTTCGGTGCGGCCGGGGCCGGACAAGAGGTTTGGCCGCTTTTTTTGCTTTTCAGAGGCGGAGCTGTCGAACTCGGGCACGGCGTCGTCCACCTCGTCCGGGAACAGCGGCTCCCAGCTCTCGAACACGCGCTGCCACTCGGCGTGTTTCTTGGCGTCGCGCAGCCCATGGTTAGAGTTCATGTCGCGGCACGCCCGCCGTGCTGTCCGCTGCCACGCCCCGTGGAACACGCTATGGTACGCAATCGGGGCCGGACCGGTGGTGCCGTCGATCGTGTCGGCTGCCATAGTCCGCCACAGGACCTCACCGGGCGTCTGGTCCGGGGAGGAGCTGTCCTGCGGCGGCCAGGGGTAGCGCGGGGGAAGCTCTGCGGCCACGACGGCGGACTTTGTCAGCGAAAAGCCGAAGCTGCCCGACGCGTCGGTGAGCACGGCGAATTCTGTTGGGGAAAACTTGAACCCGTCCAAAGTGTCGGTTACGGCGGCGACCGTGTCGACCAGCGCGCCGTGGACCGCGAGGAAGGGCTGGTGCAGCTTGGCGGGCTCGGGAGGCACCCAGGGCAGGCCGCGCGAGGCAGCCCATTTGGCGGCGGCTGGGCTGGCCAGGCGCCTGACCTGCGGGCCGGTGCTCCAGTCCGGCACCCACGACGCAATGTCAATGACGCGGGACGGCGGGTCGTCGTTATGCGGCAGGCTCTGCCGGCTGAGAAGTTCGAGCGAGTTGGCCGCAGTCAGCAGGATGTGCCAGGCGGCCTGGAGAAATGCCTCTGCTGCTGCGAGGTGGTAGTCAGCACGGAGAGGACGCAGAGACTCGTGCGCTACAGCCGGCGCGCGCGGGGGGCTCTAGGCGATATCCAGAAAGGCGAAGATCTTGTCGCGGGGATCACTCGCATCGCAACCGCGGCAGTCGTCCAGCAGCTGCAACAGCGGGACAGGTTGGGCCTCCTGTTCTTCCTCTTCCTCTTGCACTGTCGCTGGCGTGCGCCGCTGGCCCACGCTGGCGGGGTTATAGCTGCGCTTCTTGATGTGTTCTAGGGCGATCAAGGCCAGGTAGCTGGGCCGACGGCGCTCGAGGGTGGTGAAGAGGTTGCAGTCGTCGTCCGGGCGGGGTGAGTGGACGATGATGGGGTTAAGCTCGTCGTCCCACAGTGGCGTGCCCAGGCGGGGGCCGTTGACCTCGAACCAGGCCCACATGTCGACGGCCTCGCCCAGTCCCGTCTCGGTCAGGTTGATGCAGGCGTTGGCCAGCGCCTCCCAGGGGAAGGTGAGGGTGCCGCACTGCATCTGGGCCTTGGGGGCAAGAGCCAGCTCCTGGATGACCCAACTGCGACGGAACCAGGCACGTTGCAGGAAGGCGAACACGGGCCACCAGTGGCTCGAGTCCCAAGCGGGAAGCCCCAGCGCGGTGCACCTTGCGGGCAGGCGATGCTGGGCCCGCGCCGCCCTGGCCGTGGCGCGCGGCGTTGTGGCCAGCTTGAACAGCAACTCGAGGGCGGGGCGGGTGAAGACGTCCTCGTGGCCCAGCCATACAGTGATTTTGGTGGTCTGGCGGTAGATGCGGCCCATCAGGGCGACCTGGACGCCCTTCTCGTCGGCATCGTGCTGGTTGATGCTCAAAGCGTCGATCCACATCTCGGTCGGCAGACGGAGGGAGGTGGTGGCCATCTTGGCAGCGATGTGCGGGGGGCGGGTTGGCCATGACTTGGCAGATGTGCCGCCATTCGAGCAGGTAGCGGTACAGGTTGAGCGTTATGGGCAGCACCCTGCCGTCGCACAGCACCGGCAACGCATCGCCGTCCCAGGCGTCGTCGTCGTCGTCGTCGTCGTCGTCGTCGTCGTCGTCGCGCGCCTTGAGCGAGGGGAATACGGTGACGGGACGGCCCCACGTGTACGAAAGGGCTTCGTAGGTGGTGAGTTGGTCCCCGAGGTCGACAACGCGCATCGAGAGCTCGATGGGGCCATCATCACTGACACTCTCAGGCTGTGCCTGGCCCTGGCCCTGGCCCTGACCCTGCAGTGTCTTGAGCTTGAGGCTGACGAGGCGGATCGAAGTGGGCGTTGGGAGCTGCTCATACGTGTAGCGACGTTCGGGTGGAATGTCGTGCAGACGACCTATTGCGGTGCGGCCTTTCGTCTTGTCACTGCAAGTTATCCGTATTAACCAGGTCGGCCTAGGATTTAGAAACGGTTGAATGGATTGGTGGGGAAGCGTCTGACCCGACTGAGAAGGGGCCTCCCGCTCTAATTAATCTCGTGGCGGAGCTAATTCCAGGCAACCACGGCCACCGCTTATTCTTCGGCTTGACATTAATGCCCCGTGATCAGATGCCTGGAGTTCAACGAGCCTACCGACAAAGGTTGGGGCTGTAGGCCCCGACCACGGCATCTACTGCCAATTCTATGAGTAAGTTAATAAGTTAATTCGCCATGAGTAATAGAAACTAGCAAGACAAAAAGACTCGTCCCCAAAATCGTGTGCAATGAAATTAATCAACTGGGTTTTCTTTTCTCCTCGCCGAACTACAGCAACGCAGACTGCAAGGATGCTGGCGGATGCGCCCATTTCGACACGATATTCCCTGGACGGACAAGCCTGGCTTCGTCGGGCTGTTTGAATTCCGAGAGTTCCCAGCCATGGACCCCCGAGGACCACATCGGCAGCTTCACCGTCTTCCAAAAAACCACCAAAACCACTGCAAGGCGAGCCTTACTAGTAGAAAGCGGTCATCTGGAAGGTCGGTAATCGAAGGATAGGCACAGGATCGGTCAAAAGGACTATAAAACTTAGATCATTCGTAAAAGAGTGGAGTTTTCTTCCAATAAGCTGGAAAGAAGAGAAAAAGACGCCCCTCCCCCCCCGTAAGATCAGAGAGGGCAGGCTAGCCACCTTATATAGGGGGTGGTTGGCTAAGAAAGAAAGGAAAAAAAGATACTAGGTTACAATAGGTCTAGAGTTGTACCCTATTTTCCCCTGAGCCACTTATCCTCTCGTCATTATACCTTCAACCCTTCATCAAAACCGAATGACGTAGGGGCACGGGGCATCCCTGCCAGGCCAGTTCTTGAAGTTGTCCTCGCGAACCTTGGTGCCCTTATTGAGGGCGTTCCAAATGCGCGTGCCCGAGTCGAGCATGAGGGCGACGTGGTGCACATCCCTGCCCGGGCATCTGCACTTGTTGGGGCCAAAGAAGACGGCGTCGCCGGCACGCCGCTGGGAAAATGGAATCTTCCTAATGAGGCGACAAGACCAGCGTCAGCAGATACTCAATGATTGATTAGATTGTCTTATTGAATGGGATTAGGCCTGCATTCTCGCGGCGCCTCGGGTAAGTGGATCTCGACGCTCGAGGCAGGCGAGAAAGCCGACAGAGTCTCGGCTTTGACAAGAAACAACAAAACATACTTGTATTTCGACTTGGACTCGGATGCGCAGTACAATTTGTAAGTCTCGCGCAAGTTTTCGTCGAACAGGCTCCGGTGCGTAACCTGACAAACGGCCCAGCTGACAAGACCGGAACAGTCGAATGACTTGGGGTTTCCGGTGGGACCGGAGCAGGACCCGCTACCGAACCTGTCTATTTGTATCATACCCGTTAGCCACAGTCTCCTCACGCC